AGAGGGGCGAGGGCAGCAGGATCACCGAGATGGCTGCGGTTCTCTAATGTGCTGGAACCCCTAAGCAACCTAAGTGTCCCGTGGGACATTCTCCTGTCCGGCCTGACTGTCCCAGGCAGTATCTGTGGGTGCCAGACTGAGCGCACTCCCCAGAACTTCCACCCTTAGAGGTCTCCCGGGGGCTCCCATAGACCCCAGTGCTGTCTCACCTGGTGATGAGTGTTACCCTCGGCTGCGCGTCTTCGAGGTACCAGGCACTGTCAGACCCTCCCCGTATTTAGTTCCCCCAGAGCTCACCCGGTAACCACACCCCGTGGCGGAAGAGGAGGAACCTGGCTCAGGCGCTCTCCGCAGTCCCACAGCTAAAAGGTGGCACAGTTAGGGTTTGAACCCAGGCCTCTGCCCCATGCGTGTCTCTGAGGGTCCCTGGAACTCACTGTCCGACGCCCCCGAGGTTTCCACGGCCCTAAGCTTCTGCTCCCGCCCTGCAGATCCCAGCCTGGAGGACGGCATCCCCCCGGACCTGGTGCTGGAGCACTCGCTCGACTACAGCTATGGCGGCGACTTTGCGGCCCTGGACAGGATGGCCAAGTATGAGCTCTCGGCCCTGGAGGGGGGCGCACCCCAGTCCTACCCGCCGCGGCCCTTGCCGGAGAGCAAGATGCAGTACCTGCAGGTAGGGACAGGGCAGGGCTGCGGTCGGCCAGGCTCACGCGGGGAGCGGGGAGAGCGGGGAGGCTCGTGCCCTCCCCAAGGCCTTGCCTCACTGAGCCCCGCGCCGGTCCCCGTTTTCCAGGAGGGCCGCCCGGGTTAACCCCGCCCGTCCTGACAGGTCCCGCCCACGCGACGCTTCTCCCACGACGACGCGGAGGTGTGGGCCGCCGTGCCGCTGCCCGCCTTCCTGCCGCGCTGGGGCTCGGGCGAGGACCTGGCGGCCCTGGTGCTGCCCGCCGGGCCCGGGCGCCGCCGCGGCAGCCTGCTGGCCTTCGCAGAGGACGCGCCCCCGTTCCGCCCGCGCCGCCGCTCCGCCGAGAGCCTGCTGGCGCTGCGCCCCCCGGCCCCCGACGGCGGCCCGCGCTGCGCCCGCGACTCGCCCCCCGGCAGCCCTTGCCTCCGCCCCGGGCCCGGCGCCCGCTCCGCCTCGGCCTCGCTGCTGCCCGACGCCTTCGCGCTGACCGCCTTCGAGAGCGAGCCACAGGCCCTGCGCCGCCCGCCCGCCCCGCCGGGGCCCCGCGTCCACAGCGCGCGGCCGGGCGAGGACGCGGCGCCTCCTGCCGGCGGCGGCGCGCAGCGGAACCCCGGGCCGTGCCCGGCCGTGCATGCGCACGCGCACGCGGGACCCCTGAGGACCGGCCTGAGCGCGTCGTGGGGCGAGCCCGGGGGCCTGCGCGCGGCGGGTGGCGGCGGCGGCGGCGGCAGCACCAGCAGCTTCCTGAGCTCGCCCTCCGAGTCCTCGGGCTACGTCACGCTGCACTCGGACTCGCTGGGCTCTGCGTCCTAGAGCCTGCGGGCGCTGCCCCACGCGCGCCCGGCGGGCCGGGCCGGACCTCCCGCAGGGACCAAAGCACCAAAGATGCCACGCTGACCCAGGCCGGTCTCGCATGGGCCGGTGGCTGCCCTGGACCGCTGTTGGGTATGGCATCACGGGGCAGAGCGAGGCCGGGCTTGGGTAAAGGCAGGCTGTGCACGCCCTGATGTGCCTCGCCCAGCCCGGGGCAGTGGCATTGGGGGGATGGGGGTGGCAGCAAGGAGCCCGGGAGGAAGGCCACCACCAGACAGAACAGAGTCCAGCCCTGCAGGAGCCAAGGGATTGACTGCACCTGGCTTTCCACTTTGCACTGTAACTGTCTCTCCCCCGCTGGCGGCCAGGGTACAGAGGGTCTCTAAGCACAGGGGTCTACAGAACCCAAACAAGCTCTCTGAGCAGGTGTTCCTGCTGAGCAGTTCTGCCTCGGTTTCCCATCTGTAATGAGCAGGTTAACATATTAACTCACAGGACTGTTTGGAGCAGTCTTCTGGTCCGTGTGCACCGGCCCCTGCATGGGTGTGAGAGCATCTAGGGCCCTCTTGTGGGTCCTTTGTGGGGGTCAGTCTTCAGTGTGTGGCCTGCTGTGGCCTTTGCACCTGAGGCCTCCCACTCTCAGTGCCCCTGGCCTCCCCAGGAACTCACCCCACCCACACCCCAGCTAAAGCACAACACTTTGCACCGTCACCCACCTTGACCATTGTTAGTGTCCCTGCCCTCATCCGTCTCTCCACCAAGCCAGCCACCTGTAGGACTCCCACCATAAAGATCGTGGGTCCATGCTGGGAAAGAACTGAAGCAAAGGGAGAATGGGCTTCCTTATCCTGATGCCCCTGGGGAGGGGTCCTGGCTGAGAGGCCTCCCAGGTTCCGGGTTTAAGGTCTGGTCCCTGCTGAGGGCAGGGCTCTTTGCTCTCTCTCCTGGACAGACCTTTTGCTGGCCTAGGCTTTGCCATGGGCATTGGGGAGGGGCTTGCTGGGTCTTCCCTGGAGTGAGACCTTAAAACCAGGCTGAGCAGAGGCCTGGGAACAGCTGTGACCTTGAGCTGAAAGGACAGGGGCAAATGCAGAGGTGGTCTCCTCCTAGACCTCGCCTCCACACAATGGCCTCACACAGCACACAGGGAAACCCGGAGCAAATCTCAGAGCCAACGTGGAGCTTGTGTGCCTTGTGCAGCCCCTCTCCAATCCTCCCCACCTCTCCTGCCCATTGCCAGGCCTCTTTCTTCATCCAGCTGACACGGTCTCAGCCCCAGAAGAGGCCCCTGGGAGAGTCAAGCCTAGGGGACCGGCTCCATCTCTGCTTCTGAGGCCTCTCTGGCTCCTCACCCGGGGGGTGGGGGGTGGTGAGGGGAGGGATGAGCTAGTCACAGGTGAGCAAGGCAGGAAACTGCGGTATGGCCTAAGCCACGGGAGGGGCCGCCTCTGGCCAGTGCTGCCGTGCCTTCAAAGACCAACAGGCCATGTGGGGGCAGAGATCTCAGCTGGCCACTGTGGCGCCCACCCCTGCTCAGGCCCACCCATTTGTCACTTGGGTTTTTAATCTGTGTACTTCATATCCGATGGCAATACTTGCAGGGAGACTTGGTACCCCAAAGTCCCTCCAGTTCTGGGTTTTACAGAAATAAAAAGGAGGGAGGACCCCAAACGGAGGAACCTGGGGCCTGGAGCTCCCTCTCACACTCCCTGAGCCTCCCGGGCCTATTGGCTGCTTTCGTCAGCAGCTTGACCCTGGGCTCGCAGGAGCCCTGTCTTCACACCACCACCCACCCAGAGCCAGGGATCCGTTTGTAGTTTTTTGACAACTGAGCATTTCTCTTCTGTACAGGATACAATAAAAACTTCCTATAATTTGCACCTGGCATTCCTAGGCTGCTTTCATGGAAACACCTTTCTAGAATACAGCAGCACTGCTCAGCCAGCTGCCCCAAACGTCTCTCCTCTGGGATTGGAATCCCTCCTAGTGTGCCATCCTTTGGGTCGGTGCCCCTTTTCTATGCAACTACTGCAGGCCTCCCCCTGCCCCCCCCCCCCAGCGAGTGAGAACGGCCTGGAGCAGCTACGGGATGGAGCGGTGGGGTAGGCACCAAGGCCCTAGTAGGAGAAGCCCTAGAAGGGCAGCTGGCAGCCTCAGCCTCAGGGACTGCCTCAGAGGCGTCTAGCCCCCATGAGGTTGGCTCAGGAGGGCTAGGGGCGGGGGCGGGGGGGGGGGGGGGACCTTTCCAGCTGCTCGCGGGCTCCGGTGAGAATTTGGAGTCCGCCCCCTGGGTCCGCGGTGTAAGATCGTCACCTAGTGGCTGGTGGCAGAATTAGTGCGGCCGTCCCGGTCGCCGAGTCGCCTCCAACGCGCTAGAAGGCGGAGACGCAAGAGGCCTGACCCCCGACCCCACAGCGGAGACCCCCTCCCCGCCTGTGATCTAAAGAGCCTGGTGGGTGGAGTGGGGGAGCCGGGCCGCTCTCCCCTGACTCTAATCAGAACGGGTTTGGCACGCCGCAGAGCGGGGGCACTCCTAAATGGGAACTGTTTTACGGAAAGTCGATTATTGGTTCTTCAAAAGATGCACCCAAGCAGGCATCGTGAGAGAAATGTGGACCTTCGTGGTCTCTTTATACCCATTTCACAGGTCTGCCCTGTCTGTATTCTGAATCTCGAGCGGGAAGTGCCAGGAACTCTTCCCGGGCTCCGCGCGGTTTCCCGTCCCCGATCCCGGGCGCCGCTGGAGAACCGGGACCCCGGGCTAGAGTCCGAGCACAGCAACGACCTCGCTTTCGGACGAACAGCCGGGCGCCGAGCGCTCCGCGGTGGTCGAGGGTCGCGGGCTCTGCAGCGGCCCCAGAGGTCGGGAGGCCGGGACCCCGATGATCCGCGCGCGGCGGGGCGTGGGGCGCCCCGAGCGGTGGGCGGAGCATCTTGGGGGCCCGGGGCCCAGCCAGGAGAGCTCCGGGCGGGGCCTCGGAGCGGGGAGGGCCTCGGAGAGCTCGCCTGCCGGGTGGGCTGCGCCGCGAGCCGAGGGGGTGGGGATCCGTGGAAGCCGAGAGGGTCCAAGGTGGGGGTGGGCTGGGGGCCCCTCGCCGGCGGGGCGGGACCCGGCGAGCTTTGTGCCGGTGGGAACCGGGCGTCCGCCGCCGGCTGAATGGGCCGGGGCGGGGCAGCGATTCTCCTCGCTGCGAGGGGTCCGCTCTGCGCCGCTGCGGACGACGACCTTCCCACCGCTGCGTGGCCGCCGGGCGGGGGCGGGGGCGGGGGTGGGCTGCCCGCCGGGGGCCCTGGGAAAGAGGCGCAGCTTGGGACATCCCCTCCCAGCCCCACGAGAAGGTGGGAAGAGGGAGCGGGTCTGGCTTGAGTAGGTGGGGCTGGGAGGGCTGCACTGTGGTTCCCCGGCGGCCGCGAGGCGCGCGGCAGCCTCCCAGTCATCCCTGCCACGGGACCGGGACGATGACTGGGGGTCCCGGCCGTCACCGCAGGCGCGCTCTGAACAGTCTCTGCGTCTCCAGGCCGGATGGGGGCCCCCTTGAGTCCGAGGCGGCGCCGGGACTCACCAGGGCCGCCAAACGCCCAGCCGCGGCCCCGTGCTCTCGGTGCAGCGGCGAGGTGCCGACTGCGGCCCCGGGACGCTGGAGGACGGGCCGGGAAGACCTCCAGGGAAGAGGAGCCGGGGTGGAGGGGACCGCGAGCCGCCGGTGGCCGGAGCAGGGGCCCAAATGGCGGGGGCGCAGGGACCGAGCGGCTCGGGTGCCTCCCGGCTCGGGCCGGCGCTGTCCATGGTGCTGTCACCTGCGCGCTCGTGCGCCAGGGGGCAGCGCAGGCCACCGCCACCCTCTTCTCCGCGCCGCAGAAGCTGGCCAACGCCAGGCAGACAGCTGCGGAAGCCCGACGGGAACTCAGTTCCGAGGGGGACCGGCCAGAGCCCTGGGGGGAGGGGAGCGGACGGGAGAAATGAGAAGGGCAGGGAAGAATAGGAGAGGGGAGGAGGAAAGGAGAGGTGGGGAGAGGGAAAAGGAGGGCAGAAGAGTGGCAGGGAGGGGAGGGGCTAGGCAAACCGAATTTCCTTCCCAGAGTCCAGATCTTCGCCCACCCGGATTACAACTACACTAGCCAGCAGGGTCTTTGCGGCCTCCTGCCTCCAGCAATCTGGGGCCTTCTCCTCACCCAGCTGCCCACTGCCCCGAGCTTTCTTCTCCATCCTTTTTCCTTTATCTGGCCTTGTCAAATCCATGGTTCTGACCCCAGAAGTCACCGCCCCTCCCCGCAGCTCTTTACCCCAGCCGCTCCAGACGCCCTCCCACCTTGCACCAAGTTCTGAAGGCTTTTCATGTACTTGACGCTCAGCTCCAGTATGTCTGCCTTCTCCAGCTTGCGTTTCCGGATCTGCAGATCCGTGGAAAGGCCTCTTAGCTGGGCAGTCCCACTTAGAAGGGATGAGGCTGCGGATTGTATCACCCCACCCGTCCACCGCCCCACGTCTCACCTGGTGTGAGTAGTGTTTTTCCAGCAACGACTTCAGCTGCTCCAGGGACATGTTGATGCGTGCCCGTCGCTTCTTCTCCATCAGAGGCTTGGAGATCTGTGAAGGGGTGGTATTTTAGAGCAGGGCGACGGTCCTCTCACCCTCTGCCCCACGCCACTCCCGGCTTGGCAGGGCCCCCACTCTGTGCGCCTCAGGACCCCAGACCTTGCGGAAGCTGCTGGAGTGACCACTGGAACTGGCTTGGGTCCCGGGCTTAGTGCCCATGATGTCGTTATCTGTGCCTGTGGGAGGCAGTGCTGCCTTTATAGGGCTTCTCGTTTACATGTCAATGAGGCGCTCCTGGGCTCGAGGAACCCCGAGGGGGAGGAGATGAGAGGGGGATGTACTGTGAAATTCCCCACCTCCCTCTCTTCTACCCGGCTTCAGCCTCACCTCCAGGAACCCTCTTTTTTTCCAAGAGACCCCACTTCCCCTTTCTCAGGCTTTCCTTTATCCCTTTCACCCCCACCACTCCCTGAGTCTGAGGTCCCCTCCCATGCATACCCCTCCATGCCCTGTCCTGTCCCTGTGTCTAGTGCCCCTAGGTACTGAGCCTCACTACTAGGCCCCTTGCTGCCCCCTGTCTCCAAGCATTCTGGGGGGCACCCACTGAGGAACGTCCATGGGCCCATGGCTCTGAGCCTGGCTCATGACTCTGACAAGGTGCCGGGCTTCTCTGGGCCTGATGAAGATGCGGAGGCAGGGAGGACCCGCCAGCGATGCCTTTCTGCGGGTTTCACGCTCTGGCCAAACTGGCAACGCCACATTAGTCGCCCTAATGTCGGGACAATGCAGCGATTTTCTGCCTGTGGCTGCTCAAAGCCGGGTACAGGCTGGGCCCGAGGGGGCCAAGCAGAGACATGTGTCCCATTAAAGCGTGCAGCCCGCCCTCGGGGCTATAGCCAGTTTCCTCTTGGCTGTGGTCTTGGACTGGGAGCTCTCCTCTGCTAAGGTGTAACCTGGGCACATGTACTCTCTGGCCCTGTTAGGCCCCCATCCACCTCTCCTAACTGGGGGGATGCTGCAGGCAGCCTCAAGCCTGGGCGAGTAGACAAGCACCCCCATCCTCAGTCCCTGATTTCCAGGCTGGACAAGTAGGGCTCTGACACTTCCCTCACAGCCTATGAGTTTATTCTCACCAGCCTTCTCTTGGTTTCAACTAATGTAAGATGAGAGTAGGAAAGACACTGATCATGTGGGGAGAGCCCCATTCCGTGCTCTTGCAGGTCTGGGACCCCCAAACACTTTCCATTATTCGGGCTGTGGTTGGAGACCCAGGGAGCTCCGTGGAGGAAGCACCCACCGCAGGACCGCTTAGGGCCTACAGCAGGACTGGTGTGTCCCGGGTGGACCCTGGGAGCAGGACTCCAGTAGCTATGACTGAGGGGCTGACGTCCAGAGGACTCCCAGGGTTCATACCGAGTTGTGTCCCTGTACTGGGCTCGCAGGGCCTCAGGTTCAGGGTTTGTAAAATGGGGTTGCGAACAATGCGGGCCCCCATGGCTGCTCCGGAGGGTGACGAAGTAGCGTGGACGCCGAAGTTCTGCAGTCGAGCCCTGCGGCAGGGGAATAAACAAATTGGCCTTTGCAGGGACTCAGCGTGAGGGGGAGGGGATATTGCTGGGGCCTGGGTGGGCCCCCTGACCCCCGCCGCCCGGCTCCGTGGAGCTCGGGCGTCTTCTCCCCCGACACCCGCCCCCCGGCCCCCTCCGGCAGTGTATTGAAGGCCCCTGCCCGGGTAGAGGCGTTCTCAAGCCCGAGCAGCGTGGAGAATCGCGCCCCGCCCTCCTTTCAGGCGTAGGTTGCGTGGTCCGCGGCCCCCAGGTGCTCTTCCGCCCCGGCGGTCGGACCCGCAGGCCGGATCCGGGCCGGGCCGGGCCGGGGTTGGGCGGCGGGGCCGAGGCCGGACGGCCGGCGTTGGCACGCGCCGGGCAGCTTTGAAGCGCCGGGGCTGGCCGGGCCCCACTGGCCTCCGTGCGTTCCTCCGGCTTGGGGCGGTGGCGGCTCGGTACAAAGGCGCCGCGGAGCAGGCGGGCGGCGAGGCTGGGCACAAAGGGGGCAGCCGAGTGTTAAGCGCATTGTGCCGGACCAAAAAGCCCGCCCGCGCCCGCCCCCTCGGGGCCAAACTCCTGGCGCCCCGCCGCGCGCGGGCTTCCAGCTGCTGCACATCTGCACGGAAGCTGGGCGCGCGCCTCGCTCTGCGGGTCTCCCTCACCCCCGCCCCCGCTCCTGAGCCGCGCGGGCTGCGGGGCAATTTGTCCTCTAATTATGATCCTCCCCATAAACCGCCGCCCGCGCCTTTCAGCGCCGCGTATTAGCAAACCGATGGCCCTCCGCTCAGCCCTCGCGGTCCGCCCCCTCTCCAGAGTTAGGGCCTCCATAAAGGGGCCCGCGGGCCGCCCCTGCCCTACCCCGGCATCCGCAGCCCCTCGGGCCATCGCTCCTCTCGAGCCCAAGCCGAGGGCTCGCGGCCGCGCTGGGTGGGGCCGCTCACATGGGTGGCTTAGTGTTTTCCTAAGCAGTGGAAAATTGACCGCAAAATGAGCTAATTCGCAATGTTCTGCTTTGGCTGCGGGCGGCAAGGCGGGCGGGGAGGCCTGGGCTGGACTCGCAGCCGTCAAATTCCGCCCCCCGCCCACTTAATGGGCCTCCGGCTCCGCTGCGCCCTACCCCTACCCAAGTACCAACCCCTGCGTCCCGCTCGCCCCCATCCCCCAGCCACACACACACCTAGGCTGATGGCCTCCCTGCTTTCCCGGTTTCCCACTCCCAGCGTGGCTCGGCCGCCACGAACAGCCCTTAAACCGGCTGAGGGTCCCGCAGACTCAGGGCAGAGAGATATCCTGGTGCGGATTCCATCCCCCCTTCCCCCCTCGCCGCGGGCTTCTTCCCGTGCCCGGGAAATCCCCCACTTTACCCGCAATTCGGGCTCCTGGGCAGCCACCTCCCCACTAAGACCCAATTCCTCTCCTCCCTCCCCCACTCTGTTTCCAGGTCCTGAGCCTGAGCCTCCCACCTGCACTCACAGGGAGGCGGAGCTCCGGAGGGGAGCGTAGAGGTAGGGGAGGCGATTTCTGAGATGCGGGGTGCGGCACCCCCCCCCACTCCCTTATCTGAGAGCAAGCAGGGCGAAGTACTCTCGGGCTGCAGGGAAGGACATAGACCAACTTAGAACCCCGGCTTATGCAAACTGGGATGTAGGCCACCGACTCCCTTTCCATCTTTAGCATCTGGAATCCCTAAGGGGACTCTGCAAAGGAGCACAAGTTCTGGCAAAGCGCTGGGGAGATCCAGGTTGTCCTTTGCTCATTCAAGGAAAAAATTCCTTCTATAGTTCTGGAGGCCTCTGGGGGCTTCCAAGAATACTCAGAGCCCTCAGCTTCCTCCGACTTGAGAATTTAAAGCAAAAAGTGACCTCCCTTCCCACGTTGGGTTTTCTCAACTTTGGCAAAAGAAAGAACATTACAGAGCAACCGAGGTCTGGAAAGGTAGGTCCCAGGACAAGAGCCGGACCGGATAGTCCACCAGCCCTCCCGGGTGATGGCCCTGCGTGGCCTCTTCACCCTGGGTGAGAGCCCCTTCCCTTCCTCCAGCACCCAGACATTGAAAACAATGCTAACTGGTGAGTGCCACAGAGGCCACCGAGGGTGAGGGGGGAGAGAAAAGCACTGTGGGTCTCTGCAGATGCATTTCAAAGTGGAATGAAGTGATTGCTTCATGTAATTAACTATCGGGACACAGCAAAACTCTGAAATGGCTCAGCCGATTGTCTCCAGATGGGGTTGGAGAGGCCGCGATTGTTTAACTCTCTTTAGCTATGTTGCAACTCGGAATACCCCGGCCGCCAAGGGCCCTCCAAGGGACAAAGGCTGGGACTGCGTTGAGTGCCTGGACACTGAACCGGGCTGGCCCAGCTCAGAGAGAGTGAATTCAGAGACACCCCTATTGTCCTAGCCCTTTGTGTCTCTCCCCAGCTGGCTCTAATCTTTAAATATTTACCCGGCCCTTTTGTGCACATATGACTTATGCACTTCGGGCTGATGGGCTCATAAATTACGCATCATTTCCCCGTTTCCAGACTAGAGAGAGGAGACTTTCATGCCTGGAGCCCAGAATAGCCAGAGGAGGGAGGAAAAAAAGCTTTGGAGGATCAGGGTTCCCTCCTGGGGAGAGCAGCAGCTACACTGAACAGGCCCCTCCTGGCCTCCACGTGGGGAGTGGATGGGACAGAGGACCTGTGAGTGACAAGGAGCCCCCAGGAGGCCCCCTCTAACAACAACTGACCAGGGACCCACCAGCAGGGAAGAGGGAGAGGACCGTTCTCAGACTTTTTATGTGGCGTCGAGTTTGGACAAGAACAAACTTCTCACCCTGGGAAGCTGGTGTGGGTTGAGGGGCTTGGTGACGCCTCCAGCTTGCTCTAGGGGATCCCCTCTCCATACATTCTCCCTTGCTCCGTCAAGGAACCCCATTTAAGAAAAAGAGGGTAATTTCATCTCAGCCTGCAGTTTAACTTGGGAGACTCGAGGAGATTCTTAGGACTCTCGAAACGGGAGGAATCCCCTCTTGGGCTCAGGGTGGAAAGCCATGGTGGCTGGTGGGCGAAAGGCAGGACGAGGGGGGCACAGGGGAGACCCTGCGGAGGGACCCTCCTGCATGAGAAAGGGCTCCCTTTGTGCATGCCTCTGGGCTCCAAGAACAAAACACATTCAAATGCTTATTTACAAAAGAAAGCAAGTGAGGCATCCCAGGGCTGAGTATTTTACCTTTATGTTCTTCTATTTTTATGGGCTTGTTGTTCTCGTGCCTGGGGAAGACGCTGGAGAAATGGACCCAGAGTGGATTTTTTTGACCAGATTGCTTCCCTCTCTGGTAGGAAAGCGGGTCTCAGTGTATGTATTTCTGTCCATATCGCCCTGTGAATTACTGTTTCTCTGGGTATCCGTCGATCTGTGTGTGACTCGGTTTCTCTGGGTCTATTCCACTGTGTGCACATATTTGCTTACTTGCCTCTTTCCTACGTTACTGCTCTGTGAGCCGTGGGCCCTGACAGATTCAGCAACTCCAGGTACTTCTAAAAATTCCCCTTCCCTCTGGTCCGGCCATCCCTGGCAGGGGACTGTTTCCCCTCTTTCTTCCTTCTCCAAGATGGAGCTGATCGGGAGGTATGGTCTACACGGAGGTCGTGGATAGAGAAGAGAGTGTTGCTCAGGCTCACCAAACTGGATTTCCAGTCACCCTATGCCCTATGTGCATCAGGGCCCTAAGTCAGTGTGGACAGCAGATGGCAACGGCAAGAAAAGGGGGCTTCCTGGGAGCAGTTCTCTGCCCCAGGACGAGACTCACTCCCAGGAGTGAAGATGCAATTATTCTCTGGGGTCCCTGAGGCGTCCCAGAATTGGGGGAGAGGTACTGAGTTTGGGTGAGAGCATCAGAAATTGGGGGCAGTGCTTGGAGCGTGAGTTCTCAGCCCCCAGCAACACCATGCCTCCTTCCTACGTGGTACTGCAACTAGGCAACTTTGGATTTTAAAAACATTAAGTCTCTTTTAAATTCCCATGAACCCAGCTTAGCATATGTTTTCTGAGCATCATTTATTTTATTTTTTAAGATTTTATTTATTCCTTAGAGAGAGAGCACACAAGCAGGGGGAGAGGAAGAGGGAGAGGGAGAGGGAGAAGCAGACTCCCCACTGAGCTGGGAGCCTGACATGGGTCTCGGCTTGATCCCAGGACCTGGAGATCGTGGCCTGAGCTGAAGGCAGACGCTCAGCCATCTGAGCCACCCAGGTGCCCCTCAGCATCATTTAAACATGGTACTGGGCTTTGCAGAATGTTATCAATACCTGATAGTGAAATGAGGATTCCTGTATTATAGGAAGCTGAGATTTGGAGATGATTTGTCCAAGGTTACAAAGCTGGGCCCTGGCAGTGCTGAGACGAGGATTCAATCCCAGGCTCTCCATCCTTCCCTGACCTCAGCTGCTTAGACACCAGGCCTCCTGCCAGGTCCTGTGGGAACAGAAGAGGATGGGGCAGCTAGCGGCTCAAATGCAGGTCTGGGTGACTGCAGTGCACGCCCCGCCTGGTCTCAGCACTCTCTGACCCACTACTCTGGGCTCCAGCCTCTCCGGGGGCCTGTCCCCTATCCCAACTCAGGCTTCCTTTCTCCTGCCTGAGTCTGCAAACTTGGTGCCCGCGCCCCCCCGCCTCCATCGATGTCCTTGCTCTCATTTCCAGCGTAAAGCTGCCAGTCCCTGAGTGCCCCAAGACCTAACTCCAGCATCCCTCCCATGCGGCCCCCTAACCCTCTGCCTGCCCACCTGCAGGCCCCTCCTGGGCGTCCCTCTCCCTCCTCTCCATTCTTCCCTGGCTCCTATCCCACTCCCACCCCTCCATAGTTTATTCCAGTCACTCCTCTACTTGTCTTTCCCCTTCATCACCCCTCTGTGAGCTCCCCTGGGGGAGGCCATGAAGACTTTTTTTTTTTAAATTCCGATTTAAAAAGTAATGTATGTTGATTGTGCACAATATGGAAAATACAAAAGTATACACAGAAGACAGTGGAAGTCACCCACTGTTCTGTCACCCGAAGATGACCGCTGTTAAAAAACTGTGGCTTCTACTCCCACGGTTTCTCCAGGCTCACACGTCTGCTTTTGCTCCCCTAAGCGAAGCCAGGGTCGCCCTGTAAAGTTCCGTACTCTGCCTTTTAAAAGCGGGTGTCTGCTGAGCTCTTCCACGACTGCCAACATTCTCCCTCACCGCGAACTGAAGTGGGCGGTCACCCCGCGCGCAGCGTCCCGGTGTGGGTTTCCGGCTCCCTTCGGGGCAGGGTCCCCGCGCGGAAGCAGCCCGGGCTCCCAGCTCGCCGCCTAGCTCGCGCCTGCGCGCCCGAGGGTGTCAGTTTCGCGGGGGGGACGGTGCGGGGCTGGCCGAGGGCGGGGTCGCTTCGAGGTCTTCGGACGGGGGCATTCTTGAGTTTGGGGTTCCTTTCTGGCAGACGCAGGCAGCCACTTCTCGGCCCGGGACCCGGGTGCCCCGCGGCCCCGCCCGCCGTTCGCCCCTCTTCCTGGGTCAGGGGATCCCGCCGGGAGGGAGAGGGCTCGGGGAACTGGCGGGGCGGGGCCACGGACGGGGCGGGGCCGTGGGCGGGGCGCTCCCGCCAAAGCTTGGGGACCGGCCCCGTGGAGCGGTGGTATCGCGAGAGCTCGCGGGAGGCGCGCGGCTCCCGGCAGGCGCACTTCCCGGTCGGCGTCGGCGGCGTAGTGCGCAGGCGCGGCGGGCGGGTTTCCCCGGGCTACAGCCGGCGCGGTCGCCGTCGCCCGCTTGTCGGCCGCCCGGCGCCATGGCGAGCTGCGCGGCGCGGGCTCCGCCGGGCTCCGAGGCGCGCCTCAGCCTCGCCACTTTCCTGCTGGGCGCCTCGGTGCTCGCGCTGCCGCTGCTGACGCGCGCCGGCCTGCAGGGCCGCACCGGGCTGGCGCTCTACGTGGCCGGGCTCAACGCGCTGCTGCTGCTGCTCTACCGGCCGCCTCGGTACCAGGTGCGGGCCGGGCGGAGGCAGGCCGGGGCCGGGCCGGGGCCGGGGTGAGGCCGGGAGCCCGGTGGGTTGGGCACGGCGCGCGGCTCGGTCCGGTCGGGGTCGGGAGCTGGGCCTGCGGGGGACGGGGCCGCTTCCCCTGGGCGTGTTCTTCATCCGCGAGTTGAGGCGGCGGGAGGGACGCAGCCTCGCCAGGCTCGGGGCTCAAGGGGCGCGGGCCCCCGCGTCTCCCGCGCAGTGGGTGGGAAATCGCAGTTGGTGCTGTTCGGCAGCTGCGGCAGAGGTGCGTGGGGTGGGGAGGGAGCGGGCCCGCGAGTCCTTTTACGTAATTTAAGGTGTGGAGACTTACCTGCTGCCAAGTGTCAGGTCAGGGGCGCTCGCACTGACTCGGAGTCGCGCTTGCCCGGACCAGCTTCGCTGCGTGGTCTTGGAAAAATCCTGCCGGTAAACGAGGTTCATGCGGTTTTCCCACGGCTCAGGATAGCGATAGCAGCAATCCTAGCGATGGCAGCTGGAACCAGGGGGCACCTGCTCTCGGTGCGTTGCGTGCGTGCTCCTCACAGCAGTCCCCAGGGGTGGGTCTGTGGTTACCCTCATCGTGTGTGTGAGGAAGCCCGAGGGCCAGAAAGGCTGAGTAACTTGCCCAAGGCCACACCGCCAGAGAGGGGCGACGGCGGCATCTGAGCCCAGACCTCCCTGCTTCACCCTGTTATCGCCGAGCTCGGCAGCGGTACTGGGTTGCTCGCAGCCTGCTTACTCAAGAAGTAGGATGTGTGCTCCTGAGTGCGGGCGCGTGCTCCCGGAGCAGCCCGGTGACTGAGCTGGTTTTGGGTCCGTTTCAGATAGCCATCCGAGCTTGTTTCCTTGGCTTTGTGTTCGGCTGCGGCGTGTTGCTAAGTTTCAGCCAGTCTTCTTGGAATCACTTTGGCTGGTAAGAATACTTGGGGGAATAATGGTTTTGAGGCGAGGGTGGGAGGATCAGAGTGTCGGCCGTGGTGTGTCCTCATCCCTTTGTCTCACCTCTGAGTGGCGGAAGGTCTCTAACTCCCACCTAGACTCCTAGGACTTGGACCCCAAGAGCTTGTGCCCACTGGTTGTGTCTGCTGCAGGCAGAAACGGGTCTCCCTGGCACCCTCCTGGCTGCTGCCCTCGTCAGTAACATCAAGAGCCCTTCCCAGAAGAGGGTCCAGGTCCTCCGTGACAGGACGGGGCAAGGCTCAGGCTCGTCTTCACAGGCCTTTTCCGTCTCTAATTTCTGTTAGGTCACATCTAGTGCCTCCCCCCACGGCCAGTGTAGGATTGTCCCCTCCGCTATGATTTCAGGCCCTTCAGCCTTCTAGTCCCTGACCTGGATATGAACTGGTGGCTTCAAGGTAAAAAGCTTTATCTCCTGTTACCAGTATTCTGAGCCATCTAATCCCTCTTCGCTGGAATTACTTGTTTTGCTGAACTTTTGTACTCAACATACATCACTGCTTTGGTTTTTGTTATGCCCCTCTTTCATATTTTACGGGGTGTAGTATCATTTTTACCAGGCTGTGGGCCCATAATGCCTTCCCTACCTATGTTCGTTTGGTCTATTACATCCCACATGTAGTCCTTTTAAAACCCCACCTTCTGCAAACCTGAGCAGTCGTGTTACAGGTGGGTGCCCGCTGTCCACTCTCACAGAGGTAGCAACAGGGTCTTCTCTTAGAATTCAGGGACAGTTCTGCAGACCCAGATTCGTACTTTGAGTTATGGCTGACTTGATTCCCTTGCCGCAGCTTACCTCTCTGTCTTTCTGTTTTTAAACAGGTACATGTGCTCCTTGTCACTATTCCATTTTTCGGAGTACTTAGTCACAGCAGTCAATAACCCCAAAAGTCTGTCCTTGGATTCCTTTCTCCTGAATCACAGTCTGGAGTACACAGTAGCTGCTCTTTCTTCTTGGATAGAGTTCACACTAGAAAATATCTTTTGGCCAGGTCAGTGTGTCCTACTTTCTCTTCCGGAGGGGAGAAGGGTAGTTTTGTGCAGGCCTGAGAGCAGTGACTTGGGTTTACCTCTCAGGTATAATCTCCCGGAGTGATTTTCCCCAGATCTCAATCCTCACTAAGCTCTTTACAGAGGACAGGCAGAGCCCGTGAATTCCACTGCTGGATTTTGAATGGAGGACGGGTTGACCGTTTGCCCGAAGCCTGCCGTAACATGCCACACTACCTAACATACCAACCCGTGGTAACTGCAGTCCTAACCGTACAGTCAGAGACTTGCATCTGTTCATTTTCTGTGACTTGAGACTTTTCTTGTGACGATTTTATTAACAAAAAGCTGTACATCTGAAGCCTGTTCTCAAATTGAACTTTCCACAGCAAATTAAGTAAAATGCATGTGGTTCCCAGGATTCAGTAAAGAGCCAGGGCGGGAGACACTAGATCCTTCTCTGCTTCCCTTAGCTCTCCTTGTCCCCAGGGGAAGCAGTGGGGCATGTGGCAGAGGAACATGGATGGGGGTTCCGTCAGGTCTTCGCCAAGATGCTCTGGTTGGGTTGTTGGCACTTTGAACGGATGAACAGCACAACTTATGGGCATGTGTTTTGCTTATAATTAAGTCTTAATGTGATGACAAATGCGGATTGCCCACTAGCATGTTTCCTCATGTTGCAGCCTTGGAAAAAGAGGTTAATTTTAAGCATCCGCAGGGTGAGCACCACAGTCCAGTGTCTTCACTTCCTGTTTCTCACCTGTCTCTCCTCCAGAACTGAAGCAAATCACCTGGCTCAGTGCAACGGGGCTGCTCATGGTGGTCTTCGGAGAGTGTCTGAGGAAAGCGGCGATGTTCACCGCCGGCTCCAATTTCAACCACGTGGTGCAGAATGAGAAATCAGAAACCCACACTCTGGTGACAAGTGGAGTGTACGCTTGGTTCCGGCACCCTTCCTATGTTGGGTGGTTTTACTGGAGTATTGGAACACAGGTATAGTATCAGAATTGACAGTGATTGCCTTTAATTTCTTTTACTTTTTTAAAATTGACATAACTCACATACCATAAAATTCACCATTTCAAAGTGTCCAATTCAGTGGATTTCAGTGGATTTCTTAGATTGTTGGTCTCCTTTAAATAGGTACATCTGCCCCTTGTCGTGTTTTGAGAACGAAATAAAACGCAAAAGAACTGATGTAGTCCTTAACATTTTCTTACTATATACCTAAAATTTGGGTGTCCTAAACTTGTAAGCTCCTGGTGATTCTAGGTGCTATACCCATTCCCTGCTTCTTTAACTTAGATCTAGAGCACTCCAGTTGTGTGAGGGCAGAGATGGGGCTTTAGGGGGAGAGAGCCTTCTGCTGCTCAGGTGGATTCTGATTTTCATTAGAAGCAGCTGTTGATGAGGCCAAGGTCTGGATTAGACTTAATGTGAGCTACGGAGGTTTGTTCTGTCTAAGGTTGCAGACCAAGCCTTGTTTCCTGCCCGTTGCCTTTTAAATATGTTCTCTTGGTCCTAGAAAGACTTGGCCAGAGAATGTGACCAGAGCTTAGGACACTCCTCACCTCTTTGGGAAAATCCAGTCTGGGGCCCCCAAGCATTCCATTGGCAATGCATGGTCTGTTGGGGACTCTCTGGTGACCCCCAATGGTGTAGAAGGGGCAGGACAGTGCACACAGGACTTATTTTAATACTTGCATTTCTGAAACCTAACACTGCATCAGCAGTCGTATTCCCTGAGAACAAGCTGACGGTAGTTGAATCCGTCACCTGCCAGAAATGCCGCCTACATACGGAAGTGCTCTAGGAATGAAGTTTGCCCACCTCTGTGACCGTAGATCTTTTCATACTGTCACCCAGTACACACGCGTGTATAAAAGTGGAACAGGCGTTTCCCAGGATAGTACTTACTGAGTACAAAATACCCTGTTTCTTGTTTTATTTGTAGTTTTATTTATGATGCAATGAATGGGTTTCAGGGCTCAGGAACAGGTTGAGGCCTGCAGTTGGGAAACCCCACCACAGGGTGTGGTGGCTGTGAGGGCGCAGGCTGCAGGATCCCCGACAGGGCCAGTCCTGGCTTCCGCGGCGGCTGCTTAGCCTGCCTGCCCTCACACATTGAGCACAGCAGTGCCACCCCAGGGGATTGCTGTGGGGGCTGTTTGGTTGGAAAGAGCTTCGCTGGGGCTTGAAATACAGGTAAGTACCCCGTAAGCAGTGATGGGAATGAGAAGTCAAGGGCATGTGCCTGACTTTCTGGGTGGAAGTTGCCCCCTTGGGGAGGACATGTGTCCGTGGGGGTCCGTCAGAGTGGACAGGGGTGGAGTGGTAGGCTTCCCACACAGCACAGAAGTTCCTGAGAGCGGGGAGATGTTCTTGGCCTGGACGGGTTGTTTGGCAGTGTCTCAGTGGGGAAAGATGTTCTCAAAGTGGGAAAAGCACATGAGTAAGGAGGTGACGGCAGTCCAAGTGGGTACAGCCCAGGGGAACGGGGCTGGAGGAAATGACTAAGGCACAGCTTTTCTTGGTTTGGGCAAGGGAGTGGTTTGAAGACTGGTGATTTCACAATAGCACTGTATGTGGTATAGGGTTAGGGCGAGGGGGCGAGGAGGAGGGGCGAGGTAGCTGTGAGGGGTGTGTGTGTGTGTGTGTGTGTGTGAGAGAGAGAGAGAGGGATGTGTGTGTGTGAGCATGGAACGGGAAGGGGCAGGCTGGGAGCTCCACAGGAACTCACACCTGGGGTGGGATCGGGAGCTACTGTCACCTGCCCTGAGGACTGAAATCTGAAAAGTTGGCCTTGTATTTTTTTTTAATTTTTAAAGATTTTATTTATTTTTAAAGATTTTATTTATTTGACAGACGGAGACCACAAGTAGGCAGAGAGGCAGGCATAGAGAGGGGAGGAAGCAGGCTCCCTGCTGAGCAGAGAGCCCGACGTGGGGCTCGATCCCAGGACCCTGGGATCATGACCTGAGCCGAAAGCAGAGGCTTTAAACCACTGAGCCACCCAGGCGCCCGGCCTTGTATTTTTTAATTAGTTTTATTTTTCAAAGATCTTATTTATTTATTTGTCAGAGAGCACAGGAGTGAGCACAGCCGGGGGAGCACAGGCAGGGGTGGTGGGGAATGCAGACTCCCCACTGAGCAGGGAGCCCGATGTGGGAATTAGTCCCAGGACCCTGGGATCATGACCTGAGCCAAAGGCAGACGCTTAATCAACTGAGCCACCCAGGCATCCCGTGAAAAGGTGATCTTTTAATTTTTAGATCTCTCTCATATAAGAGGAACCACCAAGGGGTGCCTGGGTGGCTCAGTGGGTTAAAGCCTCTGCCTTCGGCTCAGGTCGTGATCCTAGAGTCCCAGGATCGAGCCCCACATTGGGCTCTCTGCTCTGCAGGGAGCCTGCTTCCTCCTCTCTCTGCCTGCCTCTCTGCCTACTTGTGATCTCTCTCTGTCAAATAAATAAAAACAAAATGTAAAAAAAAAAAAGGAACCACCAAAAAGGGTCCAGAAAAAAACTACAGTGCTCAGTGTTTGTTTAGCTCTGATGTGAAAGGAGTGGTAAGGTTTCAGTGAATGGCCTCAGGTCTCAAAGACCCTCGTAGTATTCTGAGTCTCTTGGGCTGTTGGCAGGAAGTCCTGTGTGGATATTCAGGAGAAACAGGTGCTACTGAAGTGCTTGGTGTCAGGACACTGACCCTGATCACCTTCGTGTCCTCCACCAGGTGATGCTGTGTAATCCCATCTGTGGCATTGGCTACGCTCTGACAGTGTGGCGGTTCTTCCGAGATCGAACAGAAGAAGAGGAGATCTCGTTAATTCACTTTTTTGGAGAGGAGTACCTGGAGTATAAGAAGCGGGTGCCCACGGGGCTGCCTTTTATAAAAGGGGTCAAGGTCGAGCTATAACACAGCTGGAGCGGGCCGGGCCAGGCCGGGCCCAGAGGCCTCACACTGCACGTGGCCTGGGCCGTGGCTGCCCCGCGTCAGCCGCTCTGCAGAATGGATTTTCTGAACCATTTTATATGTCACCAATTATTCTTCTGGAATATCACTCAAGACCAGTGGTCAGAAGGCCTTAGGACCAAAGGACCCACACCCTAGAGCAATCTGTTCTTGGGCTGAATCAAGGTAGGACACAGATTGAAGATGGACAAGGAGCCAATAACAGCAATATTCGACATTGACCCCCTAGAAGGGCCCTGGTGACAGCCCAGGCCGCGCAGCATCCCCCACGAGGCATTTAGTGTAACGAGGACCCCTTGGGAGTGATGGGCTCGCTCATCACTGAGTGAGGCTTCTTTGGCAGGAAGGGGTACGTGGGCAACAGTGCTTAGTGTTAGAAATACATTCAGAATCCTTAACCGAACAACACAGACAGCACAGCTTTGACCTCCTCATTTCTGTGCTTACGTGCATGAGCATCTCTACAGTTTTAAAGATAATTCTTTATAAGGCACTTTGGCTCTTAATATATTTAATCGTATTTGCATATCTATTTTTATAAATAGCGGTATAAATTTCAAGGGGGCTTAGTGTTCCGAGCCCCAACTTTTATTTGGCAGAAGGCCAGCATGGACATCTCCGGATGCTTTGGCTGAGTGGCTTTGTGTTAACAAGGGCGTCCCAAGCCAGGCAGATTGTGGGCCCCTGTGGCTTTCCCCGGGGTCCTGGCTCTTGCTCTTCTCCCAAGAGGGGGCTGTTATTGGTGACAGGCATGTTGGAAGATGTGTCATTTTTCCTTTATCCAAGAAATGCTAACTGAACGCCCGCTCTGTGTAAGGCCTGTTAACCACTGGGAAGTGCTCTCCGTTTCTTTGCGGTTTTGGTCTTACCGCGTCACAGCTCATATTTTTCTGTTTCCATGGAAGTCTCTTAACTATTGATTTCTATATTCTGTTCTCAAAATTCCACCAACTCTAATGCCATGACAGACTATTCGAGCATATATAACTACACAATTCAAGCAAGTCCGCTCACAAAAGTCTTAAATAGAACAAATGATCCCAAATGAGAATTAGTATTTTTGTTTTTCCAGTTTGGGGAGAGTGGTTGGCTTTAACTGCATCAGCTTTAAAGCCCCAGTTTAATTCTGGACAAGAGAGGACCTTGGTCTCAGCACGAAATCCTTCCTGCAGTTGGCAGTGGCCGCTACCGAGAGCCGAGAGCTGCCCGGCGGCCACGCCATGCCCGGCGGCTTTGAGGAGCCACTTAACCTTTCTGTGCCTAGACTCCCCATCTGTAGAATGGGGTCGATACCACCTACCTCATAGGGGTGTTGTGAAAACTTAGAAGAACAACGTCAGACGTTTCTGATCCTTAGATAGGAGAGACGGCGTAAATGGAATCTGCACCGTGCGAGATGGCGCAGACGCGGACCCGGTCGGCCGTACCAGACGCTGGAGTTGTGTGTTCAGAAGAGCGTGTTACCAACTCAGAAGTAGTACTGACTTCTAGATTCCATGGCCTAATTAATTTTTTCGTTATTATATATACCAAAGAGGTTTACGGGTTTGTTGATTCCTGGGATGACACTCTCCTGGTGTGAGTGGACCCTGCCATCGGCCCTCAAGAGGGCCTTGCAGCCAGACCGGCCGAGGCCCCTGCTGGAGCTCTCAGCAGCCGGTCCCTTTGGCACGAACACTCCCCAGTGGGATGTCGACACGCTCTTACTCTGGGAACTTGAGTGGAATCGTTCTGGCTTGCGCCCCAGACCACGCTTAGCAGAGTCAACGCCACTCCTCAGGACTGCAGACTGGAGGAGGGCGTGTCTGGGGCGTCGGGAGCCATCCTCACCTTCTTGAGGGACAGTTCTGTGCTGCATCTAACAGGATTGGACCCAGCTTTCATTCCCCCCGGGTGCGGGGCGCGGGGGCGCTGTGAAGTTGTGTTTAATAGATGGAAAACAGCTCCTGACAGCCCTTAGCTCTGTGGACAGAAAGTGATCTCAGCTTTGTCCACCTGCTGGAGTTCGCGAAGCCCACCTTGCCGCCAGGCCCTTGAGCTCAGGAGGCAGGCCTGGTGTTTCTGCAGTGAGATGCTGCTGTTACACCGCCTGGCTTTAAAGAGCAGTCCCGTGGGTGGGAGTAGGGAGACCCCCCTGCCCCCGACCTGTACACCCAGGGTAGAAGTCAGCAGTTACTTGGGGAGAAAAGATGAGCTACTTAGGGGAAGACTTGGCAGGTGATTGACTTTCATCTAGTACTGACATTCTCAGATTATTTTTAACTTTATAAATTTAGCAGTGACATTGTACCTGGCAGAAAATCAGGTTAATGAAGTACAGGCTTTTTGGGTATTCCCTAAAGCTTTTTGGGTAAAGGCCACGTCACCAGTTCCCTCAAATTAAGAAACTGTCAAGAGATGACTGACTTTTTCCATTGCGGGTTTTAAAGTGGAGATTCTTAAATGGAGAAAAGGCAGTGCATGGAACAAAGCTACTCTGAAGGAGCGTGAAATGAAACCATCTGAGGATTTGCAGGCTGGGGCCGAGAAGAGCAGCTTACAGGAGAGGAAGTGAGTAGCGTGAGCCTGGCTGAAAGCGAAAGGCGGCGTACCCCACTGGCCGTCATCCGTAGGAACTGCTTCTTGAGCCTAGAGACTAAACTATTAATCCCTTGCATTTATTTAACACTCTGAATGATTGACATGATAGAGAAATACTCCTAAACCGTACTCGTGTTACTAGCTTAGGCTCGGGAGGGTCGGCCGTAGCTCAGGCTCATTCTGGCAGCAGTCCCTCCGTCACAGGTACAGTTAACCACTGTCCCTTCTCTGCACTTTCTTACTGCCTTAGATAGTTGTGATCTCCCACCGCCACCTTGCTTCTGCAGTGGCTTGATGAGGCTGGTGGGGGAGGCTTGCGCTCTGTGCCCTGCTGTGAGAGCTTGCCGCCTTGCCCTGGGCCTGGAGCGCCAGCCGTCGGGGCGGTGGTCCCAAGCGCTTGCTCTAGAGGAAGCCGTCCCGTAGCTAGGAGAGTAATTTAATGGAGTAATTATTCTACTCTTCTTTTTACATGCAGAAATGTTTATTTAAATATTTTAAATTGGATTTTCTTTCACAGATACTGAATATTCTTTCCAATTCTTAAATAAAACTGTACTTGATTTCACTATGAACCGTAGCGTGGTTGTGTGGGATGTCATCCCGTCACCTCTAAGAAATGTCCGGGACCTACCGCATGAAACCAGATGTATTTTGCCCGCTCAGTTCAGTTCTGAATTCTGATCTCTATAGCCAGTCCATTATGACAAGTTCCTCCTGCCCTGTAGGCCCCCGGGGGTTTGTGAGGCTGTGGAATGAGCGTGTCTGTGCCCCAGAACAGCAGGGGCAGAGGCGCTGGACGTGGACGTGATGCTGTCAGGTACTGATGTGCTGGTCTCCCTGGCACCTAGAAGCCATTTGCTGCTGGAAACCATTGAACAAGCTGGATATCTGCTTAAAATGTGACTGTGGACATTTTTATCTCCAAAACGAAATTTTAGTCATCCGGATTCATTTTCCTCCTTAAGCATTGGTGAAATTCCACCTCAGAGAAAGGGCACCATGCAGGAGTGGAAACCACCGGAGAAAAGTCACTTCGGGGTCATCCTTTACTAGCAATAGAAGGTGAACACGCGAGAGTGACCGTCGTCTGGAAAAGCAGGAAAAAGGGAGAAGTTGCGACCGCCTCCTGCCACACACGCCGCCAGCCGCTTCTCTGCTCCGTGAGCTCAGTCTTTGTGCGAAAGGAGAAAACCGGAGCCACGGTTTTGAGTCTGTGCCCCGGGTACTGGGCACAGCTTACTGGCGGGGGGTGCTGTGGCTCAGGACGATGAATTTGTTTGAGGCAGGGGAAGCGCTGCACTGTGCCAGAGTCCCACGATCTCAGGTTCGGGGTGGTGCACGCTGGGCCCACAGACGCCTGGGAGGGGCCCGAGCAGCGAGGGGCTTTTCCACGTGGCCCGGGATGCCATCCCCAGTCCCCAGCCTCCTGAGGAGGACCAGGGCTTCATGCAGTGCAGTGCAGACACCGGGAAGAGTGAAGCTTAGTTAAGGCGAAAGAATCTGAAATGAGGGCCTGTCAAGAGTTTCTGGGTTTCTCTGCCGCTCAGTGATGACTCTGTTTCATGAAGGGAACAGCCTTTTCTCAGATATCCCAGTCTAGATGTGTGGGCTGTAAAACGCCCACCCCTCCGGGCCGGTCCCATTTGCTAAGTCGGACGCTCCCTCCACGGGGGAACGTCACCCCCGTCCTGTCTGGGTCTGGGGGCGTCTTTCCTCTTCAGCAGAGGCTCTTCTGTGGGGCTGCTCAGAATCCGGCCGCTCCCTCTAGGTTCTGATGTTTTCTCTCTCTTCTCTGTGACATTCACCGGGTCGTTCCTAAAGGGACACTTGAAGTGAGTTCTACTGGCCACCCCCACGCCAGCACTAACATCCACGGGGGCCGAGGCTTTCGGAACGGGAAGCCTTTCTGGGACCCCCTGTGGGTGAACCAGAACCGGACCGTCTCCCGAAGGCGTCTCCTGGTTCCTGAGTTCTAGTTGCCTGAGCAAGTGCGGTTTGGGCCTTCTCAGAGCCTTGTGGGGACAGCGGGTTCCAACGGACGCCCCGCTGGGGCATCTGGGCTACACCCGGCGGCAGGGAGGGGGAGACCCGCGTCTGGTCTGCGCGGCGGCAGACTGTCCGTGCCCGCAGCTCGGCCCGCTCGGATTTTCTGTCGCCCTGTTCTCTGCCCCGTGGCGAGCTCACTTGACGGAGAGCAGAATACTGCAGACCAGCCTGGGCCCGTCCTGTGTCTGTTCCGGCACATTCTTTTTCTCCTCCGGCAAGCATTTCGGCAGACCCCGTCTCCAGTGAACAGTGATGCTCTCATGTGGAGTCACTTTTTCTCATTTCAGAGACTCTCAGGCGCTTGGTGTGGGCGCCTGCGGGCCGGTCTGCAGTGCGCGCAGCCCTGGGCGGCGTGAGTGCCGCAGGCCGCAGCCACGGCCGCTCTTAATTCTAGAACGCGGGCCGCATCCGCCCTCTGAACTCCCCGGCCCGTGTTTTACCAACAGACCCAGCTGAGCTCGTAGAGCTGGTCAGCCGCAAGCCTGGGCCAGATGGGAAAGAAAAGCCGGGGCCTGTCTCCGCGCCCGTTTGTCTCTGAGATTGAATCGCTCGCCACTTGGGCTGGAGAGCCCCGCCTTACCTGGCCTGTGTCTCTCCACGGGTGCTGTCATCGTGCGTGTTTTGTAGGTGCTCCGACTGTGGGTCTGCGGGTGCCTGAAGCCTGAGGGAGAGAAACAGCTCCCAGCAGGCTTGAAGGCAGCAGAGCAGGCCACGGCCTGTCCTGCAGCTCTCTAGACAACCCAACTGAGCGAGACACTCATGGGCCTGCCTAGGGTTTTGGTCCTCAGATACTGACTAGGGCTGGGGCCGCTCTCGGGACAGCTGTGTTGTGGTCAGGAGACACGCGGAGGTTGGGAAGAAGGCGCTGCAGGGCCAGGCAGCAGGGACTGGCAGGAGCAGAGACCCGTATGGAGAGGATCTCTGGGACAGTCTGAAGCAAGAATGTTCCAAGCAGAGGATGGGAAGGAGGAACTCATCTGACTTGTCTGGGGAACTGAAAGGCCATTGTGACTGGAGTGTGGTGAGGGGCTAGTCTGGTTGGAGGGGGACAAGGAGGGTCCCAAAAGGGCTGTCAGGCCCAGAGTGATGGGAACTCTAGGCTTTAAGACCGCTGGCTATGGAACACCCTAGAGGGGCTGGAGATGGTTGGTGACGGTGGCTTGGCCTGGGGCGGCCATGGGGACAGCTATGGCCTGAGATAGTCATGTCAGCAGGACTCAGGGTTGTTGGAAATGGGGCGAGGAAAGGAAAGGAATCAGAAGGCCCCTGGCCTTCTCACTTGGGCATCTGGATGCTGTGATGCCACTCACTGGGTTGGGGGGGGCAGTTATGGAGTCCTGCCACTGAGGGATCTGAGGCACCTGTGATGTGTCCAAGTGGAGACCCCCAGGATGGGAGAGTTGGAGAGGGGTCTGGAGCTCAGGAGGGCCTGTGCTGGGGAGGGCTTGAAGGTCGTCTGTGTCACAGTGCGATTTCAAAGTTGGGTCTGGATGAAGCCACTTAAGCATAGGGTGTGGGATGGGGAGAGGCCGTAGGACTGGGCGGTGGGGAAAGCTGACGCTTGGGCACCGCGCAGAGGTGGCGGAGTGGCCAGACAGCCTAAGAAGGGACAGCCTGAGTAGCAGGAGGGAAACAGGTGTGGGCTGCCTTGGAAGAAAGAGAGGAGTGTGGTGAGGATGGCCGTGAGCACTACTGAGAGACCGAGGGCTGCAGCCAGAGTCACCCGAGGACAACCGGCCCCAGGAGCGGGCTCGGGGCCAGTGGGGCTGCCCTCAGTGGAAGGGGAGGAAGCAGAGGCGGTAGCACCAGACACCTGGAAAATGGTGCCCTGGAAAGGGACAGAGGCAACCTCCCTCCTCCCTCCAAACCTCCAGGAGCTGGGCTCTAGCCTGAGCTGCTTTCCCTTTGCCAAAACGGATCACAGGCGCCATTTCCCCCACAAAGCCAGGCAGCCAGGAGCACATTACTTGAACCCATTTTCGTGCTGAATCAGAGCACCCAGAAGGAAATGCGCACAAATGATAAGAACGAGGCTTGGTACGCGTGCGTAGCCTGAACAGGTTGGGTAGGCAGGACCCAGAACGTCACCTCCGCCCAGAGGCCCTCTGGGGATCATCAGCTTCTCAACTGCTGATACAGGTGTGTCTGGTTCTGAGGTTTTATAAATGGAATTGTGCAGTGTGTGGAGTGAGCGGCTTCGAACGCCCCCTGAGGAGGAGACGCTGCAGCCCATCCTGGGTAGACCCGGATGCCACCAGGACTGTGCAGAGCTGTGCCGAGTCTGACCTCTCCGAGTCAGGAGGCTCACTTGCGGCTTGGGTGAACATATAGTTGCACACACTTTAATTTTCCTTCTTCCTCAAAGTCGCTAAAACTCTAGTAAAGGGGCCAAAACAATAGGGGAAGAAACTTCTCCAAGTCGAGAACAGAAAAGGATAACACCCAGATTTTTGAAGCTGGAGGGCACGCGGTCAGGGGTTAACTACCTCAGCAGACGGGAGACACCCAAGCGGGCCTCCTTGCCTCTGCAACAGGGAGGATGGCACAGAAGCAGGGAGGGGGGTGACAGTCAAGGTCCTTAGTGCAGAACAGCTGCCCCTCCCACAGTCCACCAAAGGGCCGGTCTCGGAGGGTACCACACACAGGTGAGAACCGTGTGCCTGCAAATGCTTAACACGACAGCCTCCAGGGAAGAGACCAGGGAAAACACAGAAAAAAGCCCTGCCTGGCCCGACCCCCTGCTCTGAAGCGCCATCCACATGCTCCGATTACCTGGTCCGCCCCTGCCCCCGGCTCCTACTATGAGCACGTGCCCAAAGACGGCTGGAGAGAAGCCTTTAACACGGAAGATGGAAGCCTAAACCAACACGTGGAGGAAACAGACTTAGGGAAGAAAGAAGCAGTAGACACTATCAGCCTCGGAGGGTTAAGACACAACCGAGAAACAACAGAAGGCTGCGAGAAAGACAAGTCTAGGGTACAAAGCAGGAGCTCTTGGAATTGGAAAACAATAAAGTTTTTAAAAGTGCTCGTGGAAATTTTCTTCAAAAGTGAAGAACTGAGTACAAGGGTTGGGAGAAAAAGGACATGTCACAGAAGGCACAGCAGAGAGACAAAGAGATAGAAGAAAAGCCGGAGAAGGCAAATCAGAGGGCCAGCCCAGAAGAGCCGATATCCAGTAATAGGGATTCCAGAAAGAGAAAACGTGAAATCAACTCACTGGTTCAAAAAGATGTGTGTCAAAACTGAGGGAGGTGAACTTCCAGACTGCAAAGACCGGGTTCTTTCTGATGGATGGAAGTAGACCCTCACCAGTGGGAAGTTTCAGAACCCTGGGACCAGAGAAAGTCCCACAAGCTTCTAAAGAGAATAAGTAGGTCTTGTCACAAGGATTAAGAATCAGAATGCCATCAAACTTCTCGAAGACAGTCTTGGAAGTTAGAAAATAATACAGCAATGCTGTCAAAGGAGAATCATTTCCAATCTAGAATTTTTTTTTAAAGATTTTATTTATTTATTTATTTGACAGAGATCACAAGCAAGCAGAGAAGCAGGCAGAGACAGAGAGGGAAGCAGGCTCCCTGCTGAGCAGAGAGCCCAAAGTGGGGCTCCATCCCAGGACCCTGGGATCATGACCTGAGCCAAAGGCAGAGCCTTAACCCACTGAGCCACCCAGGCGCCCCCCAGTCTAGAATTTCAATCTGAATTCTATACCCAGCAAAACTATCAGTCAAGTGCGAAGGCAGAATAAAGACATTTCAGACTGGTGCTCTCCAAAATATAGACCTCCTGTGCACCCTTGCTCAAAGGACTATGGTGGGGAGGGGTAGACTCCACCAAACCACGAAAGAGGAAACATGGGATACAGGAAACAGATCGAAGGCAGGGGTGAGGCAAATGGAAGTCCCCAAGAAGGTGGTAGGGGACAAGCTCAGGCTGACTGACCGTTGTGCTCCAGACCTATAGGGCAACCAGCCCACCCTGGGGCCAGGTGACTCAAGAGACAGGCACATTGAGGACCTGCCACCAACATCCCTCTGCCATTGTAACACCTTTTGATGCCCAAGTGCAGTGCTCAGAGCCTAGCCTTGTCCAGACGTGGCTTAACCATGTTGTTAGAACGTTCTGGTCTCTCCTCCATGTCCTGCTGCCAGGATCTGCTGAGGGCCCTCATTACACTCTCAAGAAGTATCTTTTGCTTTGACTATTCCTGAGGGCTAGAGGGAGTGATTTTTTGCCTCGAAGCAGAAACTCAAAGCAGCCCACTCATTCTGTGTTTTTGGAGATGTTCAGAACCTGGTCTGCCTAGACGACCAGTAAACCCTCATATCCTGACCCACTGACTTCCTGAAAAGAGCTCTTCTGAATGTGTGGCACCTTTCCCACGCACATCCTTGTGTCTGGGCTCTCCTGTGAACACCCCTTGATCTCACCTGGGCTCCAGCCGCTCCTTCACCTTGGCAATGGAGCGGATGTAGGGCGTGATCTGCTTGGTGATGGTGGTCAGGTAGGCATTCTCCTGCTTCAGCTGGAGAAGGTCATGGAGCTGGGCTGTGGGAGCCAAGGCCAGAGCACTGGGTCTTCTTGTCTTCAGGTTCTCACTGTCAAGCCTCATACCATCTAAGTATCCCAACCACTTCAGTGCATGCCTCTTTAAGTAAAGGGCAATGTAAGACTTGTGAAGGCATTCTGCTTACTGAAGCCTGACCTCACATGTATCGTTTTGGGGCATAAGCAATTGTAGGGCAGTGTCGAGGGCTACGGGGAAGAGCATGGGAGTTTGTATCTGGTTAGTGGGTAGCTGATTTCCTGCGCCTGCCAGCACGTGGGTTAGCTCCAGGAAAGGGGTGCGCCCAGCAGCAGTGGCCTGTGACCTTCGTAAATCTCCTGCTCGTCAGCCGCCCGCTGGTGGAATCCCTCCCAAATCTGAAAGAGAAAGTGAGTTGGATGTTGCCTACGGCCATGAGTTGGAATTTCCCCTGGCGGCATTTTTGTCCTCTAGCTACTCAGGGCCATAGGGCACCCCCAGCTAGTTCATGTGATTCTAGGCAGCAAATTGACCAGTTCCAGAGCCTGCCACATGAGGGCACCAGACCAAGGTCCTCCTTCTCTCCCCTTCCGGTCTTGGGGTAGCCTGTGTTCAAGCTGACAGGCGGGGCTGCAAGGAAGTCAGGTGCGGGGCTGGAGGGGGGCGGGGGGGCGGTCCGCTACCTCCTGGAAGACTGCTCTCATCCCCTGCAGGGAAGCGTACTCCGAGGCAATCTGCGCGTCCACCTGCAGGGACTTGCTCAGGATGTCTCCCATGATCTCCGCCTTGATGAGCGAGTGGTGCTTGGTGAGGTCCCGGTGCAGCTCTTGGACCTGGTCCTTCAGGTTCTGCATCTCTGCCTGCAGGCGCTGTGCAGGGAGACCCAGTGAGCGCCTGCCCGGCTGTGTTCTCTGCGGGGGCCCTTGAGGCCAGGACCAGATCTGGCCACTGCACTTTCTTTGGTGAGAGGGAGCGGTGGGGCCTTTCCCAGCCCGCAGATCCCTGGCCCCTGCTCACCCGGTAGGAGTTCTCATAGCGGCGGCAGTGCTCTGAGAACGGCGTGTCCTCCCCCTCCGCCAGCAGCACCTTGGTGCTGATGGACCGGTGCAGCGTGGGCTTTCGGACCAGAGACCCCAACATCCTTCCCGCTGGGGAAGGGCAGCTGGACCCCATCAGCACCTTGGGGCCTGAGCCCGATGCTAGCCTGAAGGAGAGAGCCAGTGTGAATGCAGATGGGGGGGCGGTGAAAGGGTCTTCCCCTTCTCCAGGCTCTCAGCCTCTCCCTCTGGACCGCACGCCAGAACCACCTAGGGGCTCTGAAAAAGCCCCAGGAAACTCTCCCGCGCCAGTACTAGGACATCAGCATATGGTATTTTAAAAACTCCCCAGGGAAGTGTGTGTGTACAGACAAGAGTCCATCAGGATGTGTTAGGGGTGGTCCAGGGTTAACTTTGTTCACTCACACGTGGGACTTTGGACATTTGGCCTGATGCCCAGTGTCCCTGGACTGGGTTCCCGGGGTCCCTGGCACATACGTCCAGCTCAGGCACTTCTCCTAACTCCTCCTGTGTTGCTGGCTCTCCAAACTAAGACCTGGAAGTCAGGCCTTTAGCTCAAGCTGCCCCTTCCTTTCAGTACCTGCGTGCCCCATCCTGGGTGGTGGCGGCTGCCGTGGCAGCTGGGGACAGCCCCGGGGCCTCTCCATCCTCCCCTAACCGGGTTTCGGCATCTGGGGAGGGCGGCAAGCAGCCAGACCCCACTGCAATGGGTACCTTCTTCCGCCCTCCCACCCCGTCCGCACCCCGCTGCTCACGTGCTGGTGCCGCCCCCAGCACTTGTTGTCCGCCACGGGCCCAGCAGCAGCAGCGGCTCCAGGCAGCGTGCAAACTCCGCGTGGTGGTCGCTAGTGATCTGGGCGGCAGGAGCGGGTGGTGAGGCGGCCTTTGTACCTGCTGGTCCCCCCACTCCAGCCCAGCCCACTCTGCCCTGTGCACCTTGCTGTCCTGCGCTGGCCGGAGGTGCTGGGGACGGGTGACAATGGCCTGCAGCCTCTCCATCAGCTCCTGCAGCAGGACAGGGGTGCTCAGGCCCGTGGAGGGGCGGGAGGTGAGGAGTGAGAAGGCAGGGCTGTCTTTGGCATTTTACCTGCTGTGCGTCGGGGGCTCCAGCCCCTCCCTGGGACTGTCCCAGAACACCCACACCACCCCAGCCCCCAAATCCACAGGAAAGTTGGGGGTGGCTGGACTCCAGTAGACACACTACACTTTGGGGCAGTGGAGGCTCATGCTCCCTTCCAGGCTTCACTGTCCTTTTATTTTATTTTATTTTATTTTATTTTATTTTATTTTATTTTATTTTAAAGATTTTATTTATTTATTTGACGGGCAGAGATCACAAGCAGGTAGAGAGGCAGATAGAGAGGAGGAAGCAGGCTCCCTGCTGAGCAGAGACCCCCCCCCATTCGGGGGCTCGATCCCAGAGAGGAAGGCAGAGGCTTTTTAACCCACTGATCCACCCAGCGCCCCTTCACTGTCCTTTTAAAAGGGACTCAGCTAAATGGTTCGCCGATGATGGTGTGAGGGAGGGGAAAGCAAGCCCAGGAAAGCCCTGGTGCAGCTGCCCAGGGGCAGGCTGCCACGCCCCGAGGTGGCAGGCCAGTGTGCAGAGTGGGCCGCTGTCAGGGAGGGGAGAGCTCTCTCGGGAGCTAGGGGGACTCACGTAGCCCAGGTCCAGGAACTCAGCCTTATTGGCCAAGCTGAGGAAGGAAGAGCAGATGACCAGGTGAACCTGCGGGAAGGACCCTACTCAGGACCTGGCCAGGGGAGGGAGGCCTCTGGCCTGGGGGGCCCAGCCCTGAACCCCCAGCTCCCCTCACCTGCAGGGTGGGCAACAGAGTGGCCAGGTGGGAGAGCTGCTCCTTGAAGGCTTTGTCCTTCTCTTCATATTGGCTGGGGGAGGGGCAGGCAGCCCATTCTCGGTGGGAAGTGCTGCTCGCCCCCACCTAGCGGGGACCTCAGAAGCCGGAAGCTGCATCTCCCCACCACCTTTGTGCACCCTTCCCCGTCAGCACTTCCTGCCCCCGGGGGCACCCTGCCCTCCTCACCCAGGTCTGCCCAGGTCCAAGCAGTGAGGCCAAGAGGCAGGGGGCGGAGACCCTGCCATCACTCACCTCTGCACAGCCTGCAGCAACCGCGCTTTCCTCTCGGCCAGTCTGTCCTGGGACGGACAGCGGCTTCAGACTCGGCCTGCTCAGCGGGCACCTCCCGGCACTCACCCACCCCCGGCCCCAGACACGCAGCTGGAGAGGCGGGCTGCATCTCCCCAGCCTCCTAGCCCTTCCTTCCTGCATCCGGCCGCCTGAGAGCCCTGGGGGACGCCTTCCCTCCCCAACCCTCCCCCCAGCACCAGCCTGGGGCAGGATCTCTCCTGGCCACGTGACTAAGGAACTTCTGGAAGCCACTCCCTGCTACACCGCAAACTCCCTGGTAGCGGGAGGTGGGGTGTTGTGGGCGTGTGTGCTGGTGAGGCTGCGCGGCACCGGGCCCACCGGCCCCCCTCACCTGCATGCTGCCGAAGAGGGCGTGGATGGCGGCCTCCTCCTCCGCGGCGCTGCGCCGCACCTCCTCCACCATGGCCTGCAGCAGCTCGATGGCCTCCCGGGTGGCCGTCTGCAGGGCCTTCACAGCCTGGGAACAGGGCGGCCTCAGCCCGGCGGGGGCGCCCATCCCCGCCCTCGGCGCCCAGCCCCCCCGCGCTCACCAGCACCGCCTGCTCCAGCCGCTCGCAGCCCTGCACGTAGGCTGACTCGAGGTCCACGCAGTGCGCCCGGCTCTCCCTGCGGGGAGCAGACTCGTGAGCCCCGCTCAGGGCCGCCCTCCAGCCCCCTCACCTCCCATTCCCTGTACCCACCCCTGCATGTCCCGGAAACAACGGATGCACAGCAGCGACTTCTTGTCGGTGGAGAACATGATGTAGGGCTCAGCGTGCAGCGCTGCAGCGGGAGCAGCGGTGAGGGCTCCGGGCAGGCCTGCCCCCGTCCGGCCCCCCGCCCGGCGCGCCGCACTCACTGCACTTCTGGAGCACGTCGCGGCTGCGCTGGCCCAGGGCCACGATGTCGTGGCGCGCGAACATGCGTGCCCGGTGCGTTTCATCGCGGCAGCGCGCGCACAGCGGCTGCCCACACGTGTTGCAGAAGTACGTGGTCTCTGCATCCTAAGGAGGGAGGATCCGCACAGCCTCAGCCCGCCCACCCTCTGGGGAGCCTGAGCCCGCACCTGTCACTGAGCGCATCAGTCTCAGCGTGGGGGAGGCAGGTGGCTCCCGGCATCCCTTTTGTGGGATCCTGACGCTCTAACACACCCAGTTCATGGATGAGAAGAGAACCTGAAGTGGGGTGGGGCACTGCAGAAACATGTTACCTACAACAAAATTTCCAGCTTTAAGGCTTTCTGAGCCCTCCTTGGTAAATAGTAGCCAAATAGCAGTGCCCACCCTGGCCGTCTGGAGTCACGAGGTGGCCGGAAGAAGGAAGGGAATGAGAGCCTATTGGTTCCCCTTCCCTGGGCCAGAGCCAGAGCCAGGGCTGAGAGTCCAGGTCTCAGGCTGCAGCTGTGGATTTGACCCCAGCAATGGCTATGAAAGCACAGACCCCAACTCCTTACTTTAGCATTCGAGGCCATTGCCTCCCCTGCTCTCCCTACCTCCAGCTCCTAACTCGTGCTGGTCATCTCTCTGTGATGGAACTCACCTATCCCAGCACTTGCCTAGCTTTTGCTCCTGCAGGGCTGTCCTCCTAGCTCTTGGGGTACCCTCCCCCCAACATGCAGTTTTCACAGGTCAAGAGTCCCATGTGCCTTTCACAGCCCAGCCTGAAGCCTACCTTCTGCTCCTTGGTCTTTCATAGCCTGGGGTGGGGGGACAGGAATACCCCTCAGCACAGCATGCGGTTCTCACTTCCCCTTGGGGACTAGGTAGCTTCGGACAGCTCCCCAGGGAGCAGTGGGCCCTTAAGGGCAGACCCAAGCCTGGGCACCCGACAGCCCTTCCTGGAGGTCACAACTCCACCTTAGTTGGGGACCAGTGAGCTCTCCCCACATCAAATGACTTTAACCTCTGTCACTATCTGCTAGTGCTTCAAGTCACTTACTGTGGACCTCAGTCTCCCCACCTGTAAAAGGGGGCCCACATTTGGGGTTCAGGGTGCCTTAGATTTTGGAGAATCCAAATGGATAATGGTCTAAGGACATGTTGGGTGCACACTGGGAGCTCAGGACCGTCAAACCTGGCACCCTCCGTCCCAGCCCACCCCCAGCCCTCCCTGCCTGTTTGTTGCACTCCAGGTCACAGTTGGCACAATGCACGACCTCCGAGCTATCCCCCGAGCTGTCCACCAGGAACTGCAGCAGCCGATCCACCGGAGGGAGCCCGCTGGGGCCCTTCACCACCGTCTGGTGTCTGTGGAGAAGCTGCAGCCACGATCCAAATGCCCCTTCCCCTTCCCAGCGGCTCCCTACCTCCATCCCCGCCCCCCACATTCCAGGCTGGAACTAAAAATAGGACTTGGCATCTGCTATAAATCTCTCTCCCAGTGCTCACTCTGACCCTGTCCCTCCCCTTGCCTCCTCCTGGGTGAATCCTGGGGGTCTTTGGGGTTGGTGGCAGCCTGGGATGTCAAGGGTGGAAACCTCCCCCCTCACCAGGGACACCACTTGCAACTTGGGGCAACATAACCTGCTTCTGTTGGCCCAAGACTCAATTGATCTCCAAAGTCGATTTCTGGGAATGTTATGACCAACGCGCTGAGATCCTGAACTGCGTAGCAGCACTGTGCGGCGACATGACCTATGTTCTAGCCTCACTCTTGCCTCCAGACTTTCTATGGAAGGCCTCCATTAACCTGCTCTGTAAAATGGGCCGGAGCCTGCGCACTGCAGTGCGGAGAGGTGCGGGCTGGGAGCAGCGCGGAGCCGGAGCCTTGCCTTCCCTACACCTAGTTCCCCTCCCACAAGGAGCCAATCCCCCCCGCGGTGGCCCGGTTGGGGGGTGCTGTTGGGGCTTCCAAGCACTCACTGGCACAGCGGGCAGGCGAGGCGGCCATCCGTGGCGCGACCGCGCAGGCAGCCGGTGCAAAAGTCGTGGAAGCAGTCCAACAGGCAGGGGCGCTCGAATTGTGCGTGGCACAGCGGGCACACCAGCGGGTGGCCGCTCGGGGCGTCCAGGGCACCCAGGCCCTCCAGGGGCGTGAAGATAGCTCCCGACATCTTCTGGGAGAGCTCAGGAAGGCGGCAGGGCGTGCCCAGTGCGGGGACCCGGCCGCGGAATCCGCGCCAGCCCCCCGCCAGCCCCCCGAGTCCCTCTCGGCCTCTGCACGGCTCCTTCCTCTCTACCAGACCCGGACCCGACCCCGACGGGGCATCCAGCGGTCCTGGAGCGCTGGGGTTGGGAGCACTGGGAGCAGGGGGAACGGGCTGGAGGCGTGCGGAGGGGTCCTGTGAGCGGTCCCCTCCTCTCCCGCACCCCGTTGGTGGTCCTGGAAGGTCAGGCCGCAGTGCGTCCTACCCAAGGTCTGGCCTCCCCTGCTTCCACTTTACCCACCTCGCCTCACTCCCACCCCAGGAATTCCCCTCCCGGTGTCCTCTGGGTGACCTGCAGGCGACACCCCTTCCTCGCTGGGCCGCAGCATTACTCGGGCGCGGCGCTCCCGTCCACCCTTCCCAGGCCGGCCGCTGCACCGCGACGACGGGCTCCGGCTGCAGCCACTCCGTGCGTCGCCCCGAGGGCAGAGGCGGGAACACGGAGGCTGGAAAGGACCGCGTGGGGCGAGGGTCCGAGGCTGACTGGCTCCCGCCCGGGGTGACCGAGCCCGGAGCCTGGAGCCGCAGGAGCACTGCGCAGGGCGCGGCCCGAGGACCCTGACTCTGGAGGCCCCCTGGCTAGATCCGCTCTCTCCCTGCGCGCTGGGGCCAGGACGCGAGCGGGTCTGCGGCTCCCCATTTCTTCCACGGCCGATTGGGGGCGCCAGAGAGCAGCGGCCGCCTCTCCGCAGACAGCCGGGTGCTGGAGAGATCGCGCCGGGAGGGGCCTGGAATCCCAGGCCTGTCTCTGGCGGGTTGGAGTCTCAGAGCGGCCAAGTCACCGACCTTTCAGAGCCTCAGAGCTCGGGTGACACAGGGCCGGCCTCTCGGTGATGCCCGCGAGTTTAATGACGTGAAATGCGCCCGCTGGTCTTCCAAATAATTAGGGCCCCCACCCCCAGCACCAGCCCAGTTCTCAACAAGAAGGGCTGGGCTTGGAGGGAGAAGAGGTTCTGAGCCCTTCCGGCAGGGCTCCCTCTGCTGTTCTTGGCCTGGCCAGTGCTTGTTTATCCCGGTGCTCTTTTCTAGAGTGCCTTCCATCTTTGGGCCATTATCCGGCTTCTCTGCACGTGTTATTCTGAGTTGTGGGATAAGCAGTCTCTGTCTCTGCCGCTCTTGAATTCAGGGTCAAGCCCAGAGCCTGACCTACAGAAGGCGTCCCATAAAGTGTTACTGATCAATTAGGAGAAGCTAGGAATTAATATTCAAGCTGGGTTTTGAAGGATGTGTAGGAGTTTGACAGTGGAAGAAAGGGAGTGAATTCTAGGGGTAAACCACTGGATCTCTTAAGGTTCCTCCCTACCTGGGTTACATTTGTGCTCCAAGCAGCAATAACCCAATAACCGTAACATGGCTAATGTTGTGGGCCAAGGTACTATTCAAAGTTCTTTTACTTGTATTAATTCACCTAATCTTGACAACAGCCTTACAAAGTAGAAAACGTTACCCTAGTAGGCGGTAGAGCTGGTATACAAAACTGGATGGGGCTTTATCAATAAATTACGCAGTAGTTTCCCTCTGGAGGGGCAGTGGGAGATGGATGTTTGTTCTTGATACTTGGGCTTATCTAATCCGTCCATTCCTGTCTTTATCTGTTACCTTTTTTTTTTTTTTAAGATTTTATTTATTTATTTGGCAGACAGCGATCACAAGTAGGCAGAGAGAGAAAGAGAAGGAAGCAGGCTCCCGGCTAAGCAGAGAGTCTGATGCGGGCTCGATCCCAGGACCCCGGAACCACGACCAGAGCCGAAGGCAGAGGCTTTAACCCACTGAGCCACCCAGGCACCCCTCTTCATCTGTTACGGAGCAGACCCATAGGCCATACACATGGGAGGGAACACAGCAGCCAAGGTTACCCAAGTATACAAATCGACAAGTACGGTAATGACAGACTGTGCTAAATGCTCCAAAGAAAATCATCAGGATGATGTGAAGGAGGGCAGCTGGGAGGACACACTAGGTAATCATGGGCAGAGAGGGGTACCAAGCTCAAGACCTTGCAGGATGAGAAGAAATCAGACACAGGAAAAGCCACGAAGAAGAGTTCCAAGCAGAGGGAGCAACAGGTACAAGGCCCCAGAAGCCGGAATAAATGTTAAGCAAAGCAAAGTAGACCAATGTGTGTGGAGACGCAGGAACTTGGGGTTGGAGTGGTGCTGAGGATGGAAGGGGTGGGGTAAGGGGCATGGGTCCCAGCGTGGGGAGAAGTGTGAGGGGTAGAGTGAGGTCATGGGGGTGGGAATGGCCCACTTGACATTCTAGACTCGAGATACCAAGGAGGCCTTTGGTTGTACATGTCAGGAGTCTGGGGGGAGTGGAAGCCACCATCACTTTGGGGGATTGGGGCTTCCACTATGAATTTTTGGGGTATTCATTCAGACCATAGCAGGGAGAAAGGAGAAGGGGTGGTAACCCATGGGAATGTTAGGACGTCAAGAGATTGCCTTTTTTTTTTTTTTTTAAGATGAGAGATATTAAAGAATGGTTAATCCCCAAGGGTCTGGCTGGTCTTCTGTGGGAACAAGAGCTCTTGTTGCAAGGTAACAGGGGATGGGGTGGGGGTGGGGGGTGCGTTGATGCTGCTGGGTGGTTAGATGTGGGAGTATCTGAATATTCTTTTTGGATTGCTTCTGTGTTTCCAAAGAAAGAGCAATGGAAGTCACCAGCCGGGAGGAAGGCTGGGGAAGGCGGGCTGGCATTCTCACCAAAGTGGGGAATAGTCACTTAGGAGAGGACATTAGGGTTATCAGGCAGCCGCAAGGATGGGATTAGGAGCTGTATCAGCCAGGAGAAAGCACACCAATTTTTAATAGAATTTAATGTAAAGGATTGTCAAGTAGGTACAAAGACTGGTGAACCAGCTAATGGAACAGGTGAAATAAGGACAGTAGCAAATGCAGGAACCACTCATAGGGTGGTTTTATCAAAATGTAGAAGCTTAAAGCAGGGGCCTCAGGGAGTTGATATCTTGGAGTGGGGGCATGTGGCTGGGTTGGGCTGGAGTTGGGCTGGGGTCTCCGAGGAAAGGAGACTGACTGGTTCTATAAGTGTTGGAGTAATTGCAAACCGGATTGTTACTGTTTCTGGAATGTTCCACCCAAGGCCTCTACCAGGATGTAGAAGCAAGAGTGGGTGACACTGACAGAAGAGGAACGATCCAGAAGCAAACAGGATGATGTCCCTCCAGCCCCCTAGGGCAGAGGAACAGCAGTCGTTAGCAAAGTAGGAATGTGGTCTGCAGGCGAGAGGAGCAGGAAGGTTTGGCACTAGGTCAACGGGCACAAAAGGCCGGAGTTTAAACCCAGACCAGTCAGTGTGGTGTTTCCCCAGGTGAGGGCACTGCAGCCAGGTGAGCGGAGGACACCTGCAATGAGTGCGGGTTACAACAGAGGATGTAACCGGTAAGGACGAGAAGGGGCGAGGGGGGGTGGGAAACAGCCCAGGCAATGGGTGAAGACCCCGGCGACTCAACGTGGGGTGCCTGGAGCCCCCCCACCGGCAGCATCTCCGAGCAGCTTGTGGAAATGCAGAATCTCAAGTCACTGAGACCCACGGAATTGGAGTCTGCGTTTTGAGGAGATCCCAGGTGGCGTTTTGAGGAGATCCCAGGTGATTCCTGCCCACAGGGCAGCTCGAGAAGCGCCGCACGAGAATTTTTGGAACCGGGAACGGGAAGGCACGAGCTGGAGTCCTAGGCGGTGACAGGGCTGGGAGGGTGGGCGGCTGGCCTTCGAGAGGGCGAAGGGGTCCAACCGGAGAGCGCACCGGAGCGCAGCAAGCAGGGCTGGCCCGGGGACACGCGGCCCCTGGGTCCCCGCTTCAAGGCTGGGCACTTCAGGTAGGAAGAAGCCGAAGTGCCCGCTGGCATTAGCACCCCAGGACCAGCAAGGCCTCGCGTCCCCCAGTTGGAGGGTTCGATTCCCATTCCACTAGCTGGTGACACAAGGTTTCGTGATTTCCTTATTTCTTTTCTCTTTCCAAAACTTTCAAAAAGTAGAGCGAACCCCCTTCATTTCTCTTTGGGCTCATCCAGCCCAGCTGCCCCCCTCCGATCGCAGTGGGACAGGCCACCCGGCCTCCTTCCTCCCCGCCCCACTCCCCCCGCCGGCGAGAGGACGGGCTTGCATTCGGGAAAAGCAATCGCTCCCCGATTGTACGGAACAGGGCGAGGCGGTGGGGGGCCGAGGGGCGTGGCAGAGCGATTGGTACGGCCTGAGCCCTGCGTACTCTGCGCGCTGCCGGCTCTTTGCGTCTGCGTAGTCCGCCCACCTCCCTTTCTGCCTCCGCAGCCGCCATGGCGCCCGTGGTTAGTATGGCTCCGCGTGAGGCCTCGGTTCTGAGGCAGGCACGTGGGCCTCGCTGGCCCGGCTCCTGCTCGGCTCGCACGGGACGACGCTCTGCAGGGTCCGGCCGGGGCTGGACTGGCAGGCCGGCTGGAGCGGGCCAGGGCCGCCCCGGGGCCCAGCACGTTATGGGCGGAGGAGGCCGCGGCCTGGGGCGCGAGAGGAGCCCCGGAGCTCTCGGAGGCCGCGGCTCGGTTTCGGGCCTCTGGCTACGGCCAGCGGGGAGCTGTAGCGCCCAGGCTACGGCCTGGGCCGGCGAGGGCCCCTGGGAGCCCGGCCGGCGTGAGGCGTCCAGGGTCTGGGCCTGCTTACCTGGGCGGAGGGCGGGGAGGAGGTAGGGGACCTGCCCCCCTCGGGAGCCGCGCATCCGGGAGGCCCACGTCCGCGACTCGGGGACCAGGGGGAAGGCGGCCTGGCCGGCTTGTTTTCAGAGAGAGGCTTGGGTTTGAGGATCCGCGCAGCGTCCGTGGGGGGTGTTAGATGCTCGGGGCGCACCTGTACGGGCCTGTTGGGTCTCGGGCAAGGCCCAGCTCCATTCAGTTCCAGCCTGGCGGGGACCGGGTGGTGCGGTGCCCTCATGTCATCCACCTGCAGCTCGCCGTCCTTGTGCAGGTTGCGTGAGCGAGTCGTGTTCTCGCCCC